AAAGATTGCTTCCCACAAAACTTTTTAAATACAGTCTCATATTTAACTTCAGATGTTCCAAATAAAGGGAAGCCCTATTGTTTCACTACAGTTAGGTTTGGGGAAAGCAATGGCTACATTTCCATCTGTGTTCATATGGACTTGTGGTGCTCAGCCAAGAACTATTGCAGAGATCAATTATTTGAGCTGAAACAACCAGAAGTTAAGAGGTTATTGCTGCCAATTAAACCATCATGGTTCGGCTTCAGAGGTAATGTGCCTGGGACCCAAATGGAGAGCAGGAAGACTCATATTGCTCAGAGCCACTGAGTCTCTTTGGAAACTGAGGAGGAAAGCACTTTTTTGGATCACATTTGGATTTTCCCCCTCAAACAAAATGTGAAGGATAAACCGTGTCTTTTTTTTTTTTTTTTTAAAGTGAAAGGTTAGAGTCTGTAAAATTTTCATGTACCACATGGTTGGACCAAAAAGAAATAGCAAAGAGGCCAGATCTGGCCTATTTGCATACTAATCGGTTCCCTGGTAAAGCGAGCTCACCGTCAGGGAAATTTTCCTCATGTTATTATTAAGGAAAATAGTTTAATTCAGTCTTATATGCTAAGACACAAAGCGAGCTGTCAGTTATTGTAAATTCTCCATAAAAAGGATGGGTTTCATGAAATGCCTTACGGTTTAATACAATTATAAGCAATTATAAGTGCCGAAAATACAATTTGAAGAATGGAAACAGAACCATGTCACCCAACCGCTGTCTGGTTCGTGTTTCCTGAATCCTTTTTCTTAGGCAGCAATGCAAACCTAGTAGAATTTAAAACCAGTTAATTTGCTAGCAAAACCCACCCATTTTGGAGGGAGGTTTAATATAGTATGACAGAGCTGTACAATACTGGAGGACAGAAATCGAAGAAGGTAGTACAGGCACCCCTCACTTAACGTTGTCCCGGTCCACGTTGTTTCATTATTATGTCGCTGCTAGTAGGTGACTGCTGTGACGCAACTGCATTTGCTTAACATCGTTTTGCTTAAAGTTGCATTTTTCAAGAACGTAACTACGACATTAAGCAAGGAGAAGCTGTATCAGAACGTGGGCATTGCCCTCTTGGATAGACAAGGATCTGTTTAACAGCGTATCAGGCACCCCCACAGCTACCCTACCACTTAGAGGAGGTATTTTGCACCCCGCCATGACAGGCCATGTATCAGTAACTCATTACAGCTATACCAATAATTGTAGTAGTAATTGATGGAAGTCACTCATCGTGGTGTCCTGTGACCAGTGGGGTCCCCCAAGGCTCTGTCCTTGGACCCATACTGTTCAACATCTTCATTAATGATGTGGACACTGGAGTCAGAAGTGGACTGGCCAAGTTCGCCGATGACACCAAACTTTGGGGAAAAGCATCCACACCAGAAGACAGGCGGGTGATCCAGGCTGACCTGGACAGGCTCAGCAAGTGGGCGGACGAGAACCTGATGGTGTTCAACGCCGATAAATGCAAGGTTCTCCACCTTGGGAAAAAAACCCGCAGCATCCTTATAGGCTCGGCAGTGCTATGTTGGCCAACACTATGCAAGAAAGAGACTTGGGGGTCATCATTGACCACAAGATGAACATGAGCCTGCAATGCGATGCTGCGGCTAATAAAGCGACCAAAACGCTGGCTTGCATCCATAGATGCTTCTCAAGCAAATCCCGGGACGTCATTCTCCCCTTGTAATCGGCCTTAGTGAGGCCGCAGCTGGAGTACTGCGTCCAGTTTTGGGCTCCACAATTCAAAAAGGATGTGGAGAAGCTTGAGAGAGTCCAGAGAAGAGCCACACACATGATCAGAGGTCAGGGAAGCAGACCCTACGATGACAGGCTGAGAGCCCTGGGGCTCTTTAGCCTGGAAAAGCGCAGGCTCAGGGGTGATCTGATGGCCACCTACAAGTTTATCAGGGGTGACCACCAGTATCTGGGGGAACGTTTGTTCACCAGAGTGCCCCAAGGGATGACGACTAGGTCGAATGGTCATAAACTACTTCAAGACCGTTTCAGGCTGGACATAAGGAAGAATTTCTTTACTGTCCGAGCCCCCAAGGTCTGGAACAGCCTGCCACCGGAGGTGGTTCAAGCGCCCACACTGAACACCTTCAAGAGCAAACCCGATGCTCATCTTGCTGGAATCCTATGAACCCGGCTGACTTCCTGTCCTTCAGGCAGGGGGCTGGACTCGATGATCTTCTGAGGTCCCTTCCAGCCCTAATGTCTATGAAATCTATGAAATAGCATCAAGCCTACTCAGGCAAGCATGATTCAAATAACAGCGTGCAAAACATGCTTCAGCTGAATTTTGCATAGGTAAAACTTTACCCAGTTGATTTTTTGAGGGGGAAGATCATTTAGCATTCCACGAGGAGTTTGCTTTGTCATAAATTATCAAAGAGGCATCTTGCCTCTTCCAAAAGAATCAGGTCTTCTGCAAGGAAGGACATGACAGCTCATGGTGGGAACAAAGAAAGAACTCCGGTCTTGGCATACTGAACATCTCTCCTTGTTTGTGTGAGTGTCCTGAAACATCCAGGAGCAGATTTATCAAAATAAGAAGGGATTTGTTGCTTTAATCCGTTGCGACTAAAAAACTGAAAATCATAGTAACAAATAACCCCCTTGGAATTATGGTCTGAATGGAAATTAAGAATGCAATCCATACATAGTGCCTTAAGCCAGACACATTCCTGAGAGATGTGGAAGAAACTTGGGTCCAGACCCTGAATGGTGTTAAGTATCCATAATGCTGGAGAAAAATCAACAGAAGTTATGGATGGGGAAGCTTATTAAGAGCCCAGTTTAGTGAGGGGCTGAGGTCTGTCAGTGCTGGGAGATTTGGGGGTGGAAGACACTTGGACTAAAGGTTCCCGTGTAACAGAGAACAGCTCCAATTCAAAGTCTGTTTGGAGACCGCAGTGTTGGGTATGGTACAAGACCTTGCATCTTGCCATAATAAAGAATCACACCACTCCTTAAACAGGAGGAAAGTTTCCCCCCACCACTTCCTGGGCTCGATTTGTGAAAGAAAGAATTGAGAAGTCAAAGCACTGTTTAAAATAAATAAAACAAATGGGTAGATCCAGGGTTTTATAAAGGGGGGGTGCAGGATCAGTGACCAGTGCTGCAGGGGTGGTTTCACCACTCCTCTGGACTGATGATTAGGCGCATCTACTTGTAGTGCACTACTAAAGAGATCTATTTCCATATTTAAGCTTTTCTAGAGTTATGTAAATAGAGCAGGAGGGGAGAATCTCACCCAAGTCTGTGTTGTTACTTCTTTCATACCAAGGACTTTGTCAACAGCTTCTTCCCCTCCCCGCCCCCCCATCCAAATCTTGTGAGTACTAGGTAGCAATGCATATAGCTTATTTACTGCAATATTCCTTAAATTGAGCTCCGGCAGCCAAAATGCACAGAGGGCATTAATTCAAAAGCTCATATCACCCAGTCTAACTTTATTACTCATTTATCATCTCTTCCTTTTATAGGCAAGAGACACGAGTGGAGGGTCCTCTATTCATAGTCAGACCAAGAAGCACCTGACCCTGCTACTGACCTAGGTAGGTGCTTCTCACCTCTGGGGAAGAGAGGCAATGTAGGGATACAGCTATGTGACAAATAAAGGCTGCAAATATTGGAAGAAAATGTGCTGCTATTTCTGAGTGACACAACATTAGCATTGCTTGTTATTTCATATTTTCCAGGAGCTCACTAATTGCATTTGGAGCTGTGTAAATACATGCAGTGATAGGGGGCTGACTCTCCTTCCATTTTAAACCAGTGCAAATCAGGAGGTTTTGTGTCAAATCTGCATGACAATGGAAAATCAGGCCATTGTTATTTCCCCAAGGAGCTTATTACTCAAGCCAGGCTGAGATGCATCAGTCATAGGAATGAATTTTAGCTGGTCGGAGGGGAATCTTGCAGGTTTTCTTTTATTTCCAACAGGAGCAGCACTGTCCTGAATATGAATATAAAATCATCTCAGCTCATAGCCATTCAGCCCTCATGAAAGCCCCTGGACCCTGAATGGAGAGGGCTTTCCAGTGCGCACATTGCACAGGGTAAAGAGAAAACTAATCTCTAGTAAGCTGTTAGAATGGTTTTCTAACAATCCTCGATAAGGTTGCAATGATCCATCTCTTAATGGGAGCACAAATGAAATTGGAACTAAACATTTATGCAGACAAAGTAGGAGATCGATCACACCATATGCAAGAAAAGGAGAGGGAAAGTTCATGCAGTGAACTGAAACTTGATTCTTCAGCAGTTTTAACTCTATCACTTGCACGGGGGTTGAAGCGAGCTAACGCAGGAACTCTGCATCTGGTCCGCTTTGCAATTCAGGTCCGGACAAGGAGGAGGGTTTACATCTCCAGCCCTAATCCAAAGCATTCTGTGTCCTGTGCTTTCCTGAAGGCCAAACCAGGGCCTTATTTTTGAAGCTGGGGAAACTTTGCAAGAACAGTGGATACCGTGAGACTCGCACCCTAATGGAAAGCCATTGTTAGTGTTGCAGCTGGCTTTAGTGCAAGTGGAGCGTTGGAACGCAGAATGCACCATGACGCTAGT